CACTGCGATGTTGTTGTGCTGGATGTAAATAATAATGTAACTGTAGTTAAGAAAGATAATCCAGTAATTGAACACTTACAGAACCATACCCATCTTTAATGCCAATCATATAATGTGTGCTATTTCTTATGTCCCGATTAATACATTGTAATTTGTATGTGGATCATGTTTGGGAGAGGTATTCAGATAAGCAAAACTTTGCTTGTTTGCCAATCCCTCCACTTTATGGAAATATATATGTTTATATCAACTTGGGCTACTTGTTGAAAATATGTTTGCCTATTCATAATTAGCTATAGACTATACTTCATGTCTTTCAGTAAAAGAACAGGAATGTCTGGTCCAGACTTGATTATTGACAGACCGCCGTCATATAGCTGGAATATTGCTGAGTGCGGCGTTAAACAACAAACAACCAAAAGTAAAAGAACAAAAACGGATCTTGTAAAATGAATCTGTTACCATGTTGATATCTGAAAATATTATTTGTTCTGATAATTTTATTGTTGGGGAGACGTATTTGAGAATAATATTATGGCCAACTTGATCCAATGTACAGAATAATACGCCAAGAGTCTGTGTACTGATAGATTAAACAGCGACCGACCCCTGGTGGGAAAACCCATTTAATAGAATGGTGATAATGGTTTTTATCACACGAAATGTACATTGACACTTCGACTGACATTTGACACGATACAACAACATAAAGTGACACTTTCTGATAATTACTTTATCACTAACCAGATAGATATAGCGTTTGTACAAAACACATTCATATTCCGATGTCAGTATACACCCACGTAGTAAACAACTTTGTTTCTGAAATAATTGGACAATAGTATTGTAAATAGACATAGAAGACATATTGGCTTGTTACGGCAACAGGGTGTTACACACATGTCACAGCTATTGTGCAAGGCATCCGTTTTCTACGTAAACAAACGTATGAATATGACGAGGAAAACAAAATGACAAATATTTTTCAAGAATTAAACAAAGTCTTTCCTGGTCATCATCGAATACCCAGCGTATCATAAGTCCATTCTTTATGATAAACAAATATACTACTCAAAAGAAGTTAAAGGACATCCGATTTTTTGTATTACTGTAGTTAATCTGTCACGGCATGACGTGAAAGTATCGGGTGCTCTTTAACTTCTTTTGAGTAGTATATGTCACTATGGATGGAGACATAATAACACCCTGGATAACCGAGGATGGTAATAGGTGAGTGAATACGTGGTAACACCGCTTTGAATAGTAACACGCGATCACAATAAAGTGCGGATAAACCAAGAAACATATTAGGCGAATCTGAGGTTCGAACCGGAGACCGTTGCACAAGATAGCGATTAATCGTACTGCAGTCATTGCAATTCTTTAGCCTCAATAATTAATGTTATTGTTTCCATTTCACTGGTATCAAAACCGGTATCAGTCTGTTTGTAATTACCGTATTTCCTCTTATAAGAATCGGTTTTTAGATTTAAATTGTTTTTCCCTGGCGTACATAAAAGCTCAAAAACGAAGGGTCCCGTTTTAGTACTTTTCGTATTGAAATGAATTTTTTATCAAGAACATAAAATCATATTGCATGTCAGTTTATTAGTGACGGTAGCTTATGCAAAAGGGTTGTTGAATTATTAACCGCCTGGTCCCTAATTACGCTGGGGTTTAGAAGTTTGCCCAAAGCATAACCGGGTTGGTGGGGTAGCCTTGTGGTTAAAGCGTTCACTCGTCACGCCGAAGTCCCGGGTTCGTTTCCTACGTGGGTATCATGTGTAAAGCTCATTTCTGGTGTCAGTTTGCTGGAATATTGCTTAAAGCGACGTACAACCATACTCACTCACTCGAATTGTATATGTCCCAAGCTATACCCGTATGTCGTGCTAAGCGGGACGATGATGCGAGTGCAGAGAGTCGGGAAGGATATTACAGGAAATAAGAAGCTTCGTCTTAAAAGATATATCTAGTTCCAGGGAAATCGCGTTATTAAATAGGATTTGCATCGGAATTAACCTGTATGGCCAACGCATTTTTTTGCAGGTTTGTTTGTTTCTTCGTTGTTTAACCCACACTCAGCAACATTCCAGATATATGACGGTGGTCTGTAAATAATCGAGTCTGGTCCAGACAATCAAGTGATTCATATCATGAGCATCGATCCACGCATTTGGAATACGATGACATGCATCAATCAAGTCAGCAGCCTGACCCCCGATCCCGTTAGTCGCCTCTTGCGACAAGCATAGTCACCTTGGGTTGCAAGCATGGGTTGCTGAAGACCTATTCTACCCCGGATCTTCACGGGTCTTTCTTGCAATTACCTGCACGAGTAACACACCCAATTAATGAGTGACTGGGGGTTGGTTTACCGACGCTTTGTACAATATTCCATTGGGATTATTACATCTCGGCGTATTAGCTTAATGTGGGAAGAAAGACAGAAGTAATGCAGGTATTTGGTGTTTACTACATTGTTAAAACGTACGAGCATGGTATGACAGTGACAAACCTATAAGCATTGGACGAGTCTGGGGTTCGAACCCACGATCATTTGTTTCTGGCACACCCAAGGGGCACAACTCTGCACAGCGAAATATGCACCTTAGACGGCTGAGCCCCCCCGTCCGATGTAAATATTCTACGCCTCGAGACTGTTATATGTTAATGGGTTTATGAAACATTCAAGTATACGCATTGAGTGAGTGAGTTGGGTTTGACACCGCTTTTAACATTATTACAGTTATATGGCGGCGTGTCAGCGTAATGTGGGAGGAGAGCCCGAAGTGATGCAGGTCTCTGACGTTTACCACTTCGGTGAAACCTACGAGCACCGGTATGGTGCTGACAAACCCAGAAACATAATCGGGGCGAACCGGGATTCGAACCCAAAATCATAGGTTTCTGGCGTGCCCAAGGGACGCAACTCTGCACAGCGAATAGCTGCGCCATAGACGACTGGGCCACCCGTGCCCCCTATACGCATTGAGGATTGATATATTACGAAAGCATGACGAGAATGAATATTACTATTACAACTTCTAATCACGCATACCCATATAGCCATCACCTGGGCGACACGATCTTACGATAAAGCTTCTTTGATAGGGCGTGTTGTGTGGGTGTGGTTGAATGTTAGAAGTGCGTAAAACCAAATGTAAGAGCGTGCAGTTTGACAAGGAAACGCACGCATGCATGGGTGCATTGATGAATCAAAGGACAAGGAAATAAAGAAGCCATGCTTTATTGACCTGATTTAAACTTTCATCTGTGTGCTTTGAATACATAGATTCGTTTCTTACATGTTTACATGTTTGCACCAATGAGACTCTGGGTACAGAATACGTCCCCGGCACTCGGTACTGCTGATCGTACAAGGCGACTAAACGGATCGGGTGGTCGAGTTGGTGACTTGCTTGATTGTGTGCCATCTTATCCCAACTGCATAGATGATGCTCATGACGTCAATCACAGGACTGTCTGTTAGAGACTCGACTTTCGTCAAATAGCTGGAATAGGGCTGAGTGCGGCATTAAACAGCACACAAAAACCTCTGGGACCAGATGGTCGACTTTGCACTCTCAGTGTGTTTGAGACAAGCAGGATTCTGGGACATGCAATTCACATGACTATGTAATAATAGGATTTGTGTATCAGGTGTTCATATTAAAAAGCCAGAGCAATGAATATAAGCTTATAATAGCTACATTATGTATACGACGAATCAGCTGCTCATCCATGTAAATAGAACTGTGCATCACTCTTACCACAATTACCATATCCTATCATACCATATCAAGGCCACCAGACAGGAATGGCTACTTCAGCATGATCAGGGATATTGGCTGTGTCGTTTTATTCTGGGGACTGGCAACAATACATTCTATCTGATCCACCAGACTTACTGCCTGAATTCTTGCTTACTCCAAGAAACAAATGTTGTGTTTTAATTTACTGGGTTTTTTTCAAAATATGCATTGGTCACATAGCAAATGTTCTGGTCTTGTTCTAACATGCGTAATATACTGAACCGCAAAAGAAACGTCACGTCATGAAAGCTCCTCATTGATAACGAGGGCGGGGGGATTAATAGCGTGCTACCTGTATTTTTTATATATTTTCGAACTATCACTGTAACTTAATATAGGACCGTAATGAAAATATGTGTTTCAGATGTTTTCCGAATGAGGATGGCTAATCAAAACAATCCACTCTTATTTCTAAAAGGAGCCGCCACGTGTACACAGGCATCCGCCGATTTTAGTCAGCCATCGATATAAAGAAATATTATCCATTCATTCATTCCTTCATCCAATTAATGTGAATAAATATATATGTCGTAGTAAGACAACATTCCTATACGTGAAAAATAGAAAGTTATTTAGAGTTAAACTATTGATATCTCTGCACTTTCTAAGTAAAAACCTTAAACACGTGGAGCCTCTTAAATAAATGGTAACTTGGGGATATTCGCAATGACATACAAATAGGGACGTTTGTTCTTTTGTACTTCTCCTCCCCAGGACAATCGCATGTCCTCACACCCTGTTAGCTAATTAGGTTGTCTGCGTGGCGCTCGGTGGGAAGTCTGAATTAGGTAACGTATTACAGTCTATTATCCAAGAACTGTTACTAACAACCTGTGCTACATTTGAAATGTCCGAACAAAAGTAGCGGCTATTTATAGACATCAATCAATACAAAAGGGGCATGTGATTGGCTGTACGGGAGGAAACGGTTGGCGAGACAGGTAACGCTATTCTGATCAAGTTTCTCGGGTCGATATGTTTCTTTGAAGTAAAACAGTTCTGTGTCAGTTGCATAGTACAATCGAGGTTAGCTTCCATGTGCATCTCTCGCACGAATATCACGCGTAGCGTCGTTGCAATCGGCAACCATTGTCGATTGCTACCTGTGGGAGAATTTTGCCTTACTTGAGTTACCTCCCTCTCATTGACAACAAAGGAGTGCACACGTCACGTATCTTATTCAGGCTAAGCCTACCTGAGTTATGCCACGCCCCCTTATACTCTCCGAGGGAGGTGACACGGTAAACGGAACAGCTACGTGTGCCGATATCATGGCGACAGTTTGAAGTACAGACGGGCCAGGTGTTGGCCTGAGATGGATTTACGAAATGTAGGAGAAATTTGGAGATAACTTATGTCATGCCGCTGCCTAACAGGATTGTCGAACCTCAAAAGTTGGGGAGGAAAGCGTTACGACCTGAACAAAATGAGGATCCGGTCTCGACCCAACTTGCCGTTTCCCATAACACAGTGCTCGGAGCCTTGTACCAGCTCGCGAGCCTCGTGCGACACGCAGACGATCTGTTTTGTGATTTGGCCGAAGAGTGTCAAAAAGTTTTCGAGAAAACGGACAGAATAACGGAAAAGTTGTCCCGAGTTAAGGATTATGTCTACAAGTTGGATTCTAGGAAAGTGAAAATACGTAAGTTATTCTTGTTTATTCTCAAAAGGCGGATCGAAGACCACGCTTGATTTCACATTTCAGAGCCACTCGATTTTGAATTGACTTTCAGTTGATATCAGTATTGAATTCAGCCGCGAAATTTCTTGGGTTCAGTATTGAGGCTAGTATTAGGTAGCAAATGTAAAATATATTTTGGTCTCTATAATGTTACGGAGAATTGTGTTGTGGTATATTTTGTTTAGAGGGTTTAGGGGCTTAAAGTTAAACTTTGTAAACAAGACCAGTATGGCAACGATAGCTATGAACAAAGTATAAACCATTTGTTAGTATGTGTAACATACAGTGTTCAGACTAGTGTACAAAGACAATATTATATTGTTCTCTCAAATGCAGATAACCCATTTCATGTTGTACAATGTAACTGTTGATTGTGCAATGTGTTTGGGTGTTATAACAATCTGGAAGATTTATGAAGGGATAATATTGAAGTGTTATTGAATGCTTAGTTGAAACACTTCCCAACTTCAGACAGATTATACAGTCATAAATTGTTACATATCAAACAAATGATGTAGTTATACTGAAAAATAACCGCATTTTAATATGTTCCTTTCATTGTACAAAACACTGGAACTGACCCAAATTAGGCACAGACGAGTTTCAAATATTTTATATTTAACATTTTGCAGAATTCCTGCCAAAGTCGAGGCAACCTGACCACTACACTAAATTTCAGACATGTTATAAAATTGAAAGCAAAACAATAACATGTATCACACAAAACCATAGCCACTGAGTGCACCCTAAGGCCCTTGTGAGCCCTGTCCCTTACAGTATTGTGTGTAGTTCACAAGCCGCCACACTCATGTGGTGTCTCCTCCCAAGTAGTGAATGTTATACCACAACCAAAACCAACAGGCTTGCCTCTTGGTCGCCTCGGAAATGCCATGAAATATAAATATTTGCTTCCTCAACTCCAATGGAATGAATGAAGGCCTGCAGCTCTATGTCCTCCTGTGAGACATTGGGCACATCATGTGTGCAGCTGTGTTCTATGTTGTTGTTGATGTTGTTGCAGCTACTATGTGGTGTATATAAAAGTGACACTTTTGTGTAGCAAGCAATAACTAAATAAATGGAGTTTGGAGCCAGACAAATAGTTTTATTGTATTATGGTAATTGGTAACTGAAAATCAATATCATATTTGAATGTTTATACAAGTTTGTTATTTTCAATGTCAAAACTAACACTGTCCCAAATAGACTTTGCAGTTTCTTATCCGATTTGCCCCAAAATGTTGAGTATGAGGCTATGAAACAGTGGTGGTTCATAATAAATAGGTATTCATTTGTATTATTATCATGTATATATATATATAAGCTCTTAAATACACTTCATAGTGAGTTAGAATTTTACTTTGCATCTGCATTGTTTCAGTCACAATAGTGACGAGAACAAGTTAGGGAATTAAAAAACATTACTCAAAAGCAACCTGACAAACATATTTTAACAAGACAATGAACCCAAAAATAACCCATGCTGAATTCGTAGAAGTGAGGCAACAGTTATCTTGATATATTATCCACCACTTATCAGACAAGCTTACCACGACCAGACTGGACAAGACACAGCTATCACCAAATGTATTTGGTCAAGCCTGTTACTTGTTTAGGTAGCAGTTTACAGAAGCAATTGACATCCCAAGCCTTAAAGAGTTAATTAAGATAATGTTTGTTTATTGGGGCTGCCTTTGCTAATTTGGTCACTCAAAGTTCAGTGCTGTTGAATAAGCAATTACTTGTGTACCATATCAGCTGTGATAACATGATAACACATCACAGATAACGTATGTTGTACTATTTGCACTTAACATGTTCAGGTTATTGCCTGGCTGGTATTTATTTCATCAGGTGTCTCCAATATTATGGTTATTTCATATGGTAATTGTTACATGCTTATATTTCAGCTGGTATTGTTCTAGGAATGCTGTAATTTAAAAAAAATAATTATTAATGAGTTCATATGTTTTAAGGTCATATTATTACAAGTCTTTTATGTCACATTCCAGTGACCCTTAGAACATGGAGAATCTTCACATTGATGAACCTAAGACGTATCATGTTATATGTCATTTTGAAGTTAAAGGTTCTCATGTTGTCTTTATTATTCTCACTTAAAGTAAACATGATGCCAAGTGATCATTCCCTTTTCAAGCAGTAAGGGCATGATCCATATTTCATAAGGTTTCTTTGATATTTTATTCCCTTTTTGTAATGAATCAATCCCATTACATGACACATACACTTTGGACCTATTGTGACCACCGGTATTGTTATACTCCGTGGCAGGTCAGGTGACAATACCACGTTTCCAAGCCCCCAAGAATGGACTTAGCCTTAACAAATGATTAAGATATCACATTAGTTAATCAGTGAAATCATTGTATCATATGTCAAACAAAGTACTTAATTTACCACTAAGTAATATTTGTAATCAGTATTGTTACATAATTACGAAATGTTGAAGCTTATTTTAAAACCTATTCCAGTTATATGATTTAATTTCAGTTACTTTTTATAACAATTTTTAATATTATCATTTGTAGTTATAATTTTCAAAAGTATTGGTTCAGCATCAAACTCATACTTTTTTATTAACTATTAATTTATTGTATGTCAAACATTGCCGAAAGCAGCATTTTTATAAAGTAATAATTTGTATTACCTTCAGAAAACAGAAGGATCGTTTATGTCACATAAGATTGATCGCTGTCTGCATATCTTGCTACACAAGCTGTGCGATATCTGACTTTCAACTCTACCTGTAACAAGTTGCATTTACCTGACACACTTGTGCTATATTCTTGTAACCTACATTTGCAACATGTTACATTTTTGTTAATATGACTGTTGTACAGTCAATAGAAGATATTGCTATTCCTCAGGCGACATACCTGCCCGGCAAACACATCTATTGTTGTTTTAACACTGTTATACCTTGGTATTGATCTTTCTGCAGGTGAAAATCAATCAGTTGTGGGAGTGATTATTGAACTATGGTGCATTAATTTTTGAATGAATTACTAGGTAATATTTTTTATAGCCATCTTTCTAAATGTTTTGAGAAATTGTAACTAATTTCTCCATATGTTAATACACAGAAGTGTCATGTTACTACCTAGTTAATGATATAAAAAGATCCGTATTGATTAACTAATTGTTTTGAGGGGTCAGACTTACAGTGTCATTTAAAGAACGTTATGCTTGTTGACTATGTAAGCATGGCTTCCTTTGAGAAATAATTAATAAAAGTGGCATTCCGATTTTGATAATACCTTTATCAAGTAGCCAAATAAAGCTATGATCCTGATGATATGGTAGAATAAACTCTCTCAATAGGCATCCTGTTTTCATTGATCTAAATGATTCTGAGAACTGGCCAGGACTGAATCATGGGTATTTGGTTAATTAACAGGTAAATTATTTCTTTTTTGTGTCAATGAGTCTTTTTGTCATTTTTCAGTTACTAAAGGACATCCTTTTGTGGCTATTTTTTAACACTGATGAGACTTGTTACTCTGAATATATAACGTGAGAAATTAAGGACGTCTGCTGCGTTGACATTTGAATATAGGGCCATTTTGTAAATAATCTGTCAATATTTTCTGCCATTAGTTTTGATAACGTGACAAGAACCTTTTTGTTACATCGTAATATTTTCAAAACACTGGTAGTTAAATACTTGCATTACCATCTATATATCATTGCCAGACGTCGAACAAATCGTTTGGCATTATTACCCAGAATTATATCTTGAAAAAGAGGTCATGATTAAGGCAATAAGTCTACAGTGTCAAGCTCAGCGCCTCTACAGGAAATGGGGTTTACTCCAGGATCTGTTATTTGTATTAGCGGTGGTCGATAAAATCCTGAGCGGCCTACCTTAAGATATGGTATTTTGTTTTTCAAGTGGCCAATGATTCATTCCCCTGGGGCAGAAGCGGGGGAGTGTCCCCAAGGTTCAACAGCTGGGTGTGCAGAGTTTTAGGGGGAATCTTATCTCAAATCACTCTCCTTTGTGGGTTTATTGCTCTCAATCAAGATTGGATTTTTCCATTGTTTCAATCTGTATTTATGGCTGCTATTAAGTAGTTTAGATGCTGGCATTGATGTCATTTTATGGTGTATTTTTTTAATTACTTTTGAATCATTTCAGATTGTTGAACTGTTGCTTTAGCTTAGGGCATCTAGTGAATGTGATTCATTGTTGTGTCAAGTGTATGTGTTGCTTCACTTTATTGATATATATACCTTCTTTTGAAAATTGTTTGTTTGATCTCAACCATAAGGTTATCAATATGACTGATATAACTCTCAGTTCTCTGGCATGAACTAATCCTTTCTTGAGTCAGATCTACTTCATTCAATCATGACCTTTTTTTGTCACATCTTATCAGCAACTGTCTTCATCACAACATTTTAATATTGAAAAGAATTTAGCCACCTACCAACCCTTTTCTATTGAGGTCATGTTACTTGAACTACAACTAACAAGTACATGCGGTTAATTCATCCCTCAGGAGGGAAAACATTCTCACCTGACATTTTTCTTCATTGTTTCAAAATCAGACTTTGTCCATGTGTCAGTATTAGAAGATTTTATGTGGAACACATGAAAAGAAAGGAAGTTTAAGGCAAACGTTAACCCTGACCCTCCAAACAGCAAATATGAATGATTGTTTAGGATGGGTGGTATCCCTTTGTGTTCGTTACACAAAGTTGTACATTTCATGTGAGTTGTAGCACCAGTATAGTGGTAGTACCAGTATAGTGGTAGCACCAGTATAGTGGTAGCACCAGTATCGTGGTAGCACCAGTATAGTGGTAGCACCAGTATAGTGGTAGCACCAGTATCGTGGTAGCACCAGTATAGTGGTAGCACCAGTATAGTGGTAGCACCAGTATAGTGGTAGCACCAGCAAAGTGGTAGCACCAGTATCGTGGTAGCACCAGTATCG